TGCTTAGGAGACCAAACCAAGTCAAAAAATCTCTACCGCGCTCCATAGCTTTCAGTTCACGCTTTGTTTGCTCTAAATAGTACAGAATTAACTCCTTCACTAATACTCTCATGCAATTTTTATAATCATCTCTGTACGTTCAAAGGCAATGACGACCCACGAAAGCAACTCTGTCGGGTTAATACAAATTCCGGTATTTTCATTTTAAAGTAGCTTGGGGAAAATGGTTTTCAAGTATTGCAATGATGAACAAGGTGTGTTTCATGAAGTCTAACCAGTATCATTTATGCGATGAATGGGCCAATAAATCAATTAGAAACGGTAACCATGACGAGAAAATAGCTTTTTTTCGACCCTCATTTCGTACTGATGGATCTTGACCGTTCTGACAGTGATGTGGTGCTCGTGGCGGTGCAACTTAAACCAGTTCATAATTCGAGGTTAGTTCTTCAGCATACAGTTAAGTTCATTTTCTTTCACAATGGACTTACTCGAAACATATGCGTGTATGTATTAGTAAACAATGATCATAAATGATTTGTAAAGTAATGCAGATTTGGTAAACTGACTTAGGCCATACATTTTACTAAATGCCATTTGGTCTGAATCTTTCACCTGGTAACTTTGATGTTTTGTTCAATTATTCTGTTTTAGGCGTGCATTCCAGGGGAACTGATTGAACAATTTCCGTTGAATCACCGTGATTTTTTCGCAGTGTGAAACTGTAATGACTTTTTTGACTCACATTATTCGAGCGTAACAACAAAAATATTCTGTTTAGATGCATCAACCCAACTGGCGATTGAAAACTGGGACCTCACAGGTAGAAGGCAAAAATGTACCCAGTTCATAACCGGATAGTTAATCACTCCTTAATCTATTCTGATCCTTCATCGCCATCATGCAGACAAACGTAAGGGCCAGAACGACCCATTCAAAACAAAATTTGGAGGTAAGTAAAATATAAAGTGGAATCAAAGCAAGTAAATTAATACCGAAAAATGTTCCGTTTTACAAAAATGTGAAATTTTTTTCTTGACCATTCGTCTGCTTCATTATGATTCTTTGTTCTGTCGGTGACCGCTTGGTTCGAATTATTGATAAGGTTTATGAATAAATTAATGACAGAATACCACCAATTGACTTGTCTGGTTGGTACTTCAAACCTTTACCTCTGGGCTACACGGTCGACTCCACCCGAATATTGGCAGTTCGAGTCCTGACAGGGACACAAAAGTATGCAATACTGATGAGTTCTAAATGGGACGAAACAGCTGTTAGTACAAGTGTTTGCATCGCGTTTGAATTAAGTTATCTTTATTCACTTTTTACAACCAATAATCGTGCATTGTCATAGATCGATTTTGGTTGCTATCTCACGGCTGCTCACACAGGTAAAAGAACAAAGGGAAGATTGGAGTGAAGAATAAAAGAGAAAATGGAGGATTCATGCGGATTAAGGTTGGAAGGATAACGAGTGAGTGCCACCTTTTGCGATACTGAGTCATATCATTGAGTTTATTGAACCCCCGGTTAAGAAGATCCCGGGGTCCACACCCAGCAAACCCAAATCGGCCTGTGTGAGCAGGTCTCCTGGTCGGGGTTTGCATACCCTCGTGCCAGGTCTTAGTTTGACTACCCTTTACTTTTCTCCGTCCAAAACCTGCTTCGGCAAACAGTATGCGACGTGGAAATCTAACAACTGAAGTGCGCAGCACACGGCCCAATGAACGCAGTCTATGAGGGTCGACCAATTGCTTCAGTGAACGACCGTTGTCTTCATTACCGCTAAACTGATTATTAAATAAACTCTTTAATCCCAAATTATAACTATGCTATACCTTTTCCACTGCAAGCGAGTCCGTTGTAACTTCTAGTGAATCCAACCAATCACAATCCATCGGAAACCCCACAAGATTATTGGTGTTTCGGCCGTCAAATATCACCGACTGGACCGGGTCAGTCTAAACCCCGTTCAGTCCGAATGAACTAACTCCTCTGTAAACAAACACAAGTAGTTTTTGACTGAGTTACCGAGCGAGGATGAATGTTTCGGAGGGGGTAAGTCGTTCTCACCCCCCCCCCACACACACACCCGTTCCACCCGGGTACGTTATGTTCGTGATCGTTGATCGAGTGTGCGTTATAGATACGAATGAACGAATCCAAAGTTAATTGACCTCTGTCGGTCGGGTAGCCAATCGCATCAAGACGTGAATGTGAGCATGATTCTTTGTATGAGTGAAGTCAGTCTAAGCCCTCATAAACCAATGAGTAAATTCCATTGATGACGAGCTTCTCTCGGATAAAACCGATTCCTTTAAATCAAATGCGATTGCTAACGTATTTTTGACATTGAAACGCACAATTGACAAGATAATTAACAATAGTAACAATGATGAAAGAAGTAACAGTATTTCACTTGAATAGTAAGATCAAATTCATTAGCTAACGGAAATCATATTTTTCTCTGTCATTCCCTGGCTGATTAATACATTCAGTTCGCAATGCCAATGGCAGCAATCCGTTACCTGCGGCTTTTCCTGTCACTACTCAGATTTATCGCATAGGTTCTTATCCTTATTGTATCATTGTTCAACCCATCGCATCTTTTCACATACTGGTTATATCTGTGCGATCATTTATAGTTTAGTAAATGAGACAGGTGGTAATATGAATGAGTTATAATCATCCATGATTCCACAATCGACGATAACTCTGAACTGGGTGCTACATGGGGTATTAAGTAGAAGTCGGTAAAATGTTCCACCCATGGTTGTCTTAATACTGGATGTCGAACAAAAGAAAAGGTTCAGTGGTACCAGAGATGCCACTTTGCGGTATACCTCCCGTATGTGTTACCACGAAAGGTTGTGTAAACGAGCTACCTATCATAACCGACAAGTTTATTTGTAAAAAATAAACTATTTTCTACAAGTTGAGTGAATATAACCTGGAAGACGCCACTGACTACAGACAAGTTGAGTAATAATGTGAAATGCCTACACAAACACCCAGCTCAGTTCAGAGTGGAAAAATGTTATTGCTTTCCAGCTTTATGATAGGTAGCTCGTTTACATATATGTGAGTGAGTGAGTGAAACAAGTGCCTGACGTGAATTGTTCCGGTGGTTTTTGTCTCACCTCTTGAATTCGAGCTTCACGATCGTCCAGAAAACGCTGTATGCTTTCTTGTTTCTGTCTTTGAATTGCCTCGGCTGATTTTCGCCATTCCTCTTCCTTTTGTTGTACTCTTGGTGAAATTCAGGGGATGAGGAACAACACAAGAATGCGAGTACCGAATGATTATTGATAATTAAAGATTCAGTTCATGGGAACACAGAAACAATTGGTGAATCGCTAATCCGGAAAGCCTGATCTCTATTCGGAGTTCACGATCAAATGATGCACTATGATTTCCATTGCATCTCGAAGAGACGGACGTTACAATTCAGTCATGTCTTACTTTGCATGCCTGAGGCAATTACAATCCCCTATCCCAACACAGACTGAAAGGTCTATTTAAACATGGAATTTATATATAGGGGGGGGGGGCAGTTTGAATTCTTTGATATAATCTTCTTTGAGTGCCCCAAAACAGTGTGTGAAATCCCTCAACTTCCCATAGCACTCCGCTCCCCCCCCGCCAATCTCCTTCAGAAATCACATGAGTAACACGATCCACGCGTAAAACAAGGTCCGATATAATAGGTCAGTCATATCAGGTTTGTGAGACTGAGACAGATAACAAAATATCTCCGCTAGACTATCCAGTTGTTTTGTTTTTGTTTCACGCAAAATGATGTTGTATAAATGTAAGGTGGCCTGGTAGATAGGTGATGAATTACTGATTACAAGCTTGTTCGCTAAGCTGCGTTCTCTTGCAATATGTGTCCCTGATTTGACGCGAGAGGTGTAAATTATCAATAAAATCAAAACCTATAATTAACACCAAAACTCATTTGTTTACCAATAGGCGGTTCACCATAAAAGCAACATATGATGAAACTAAATAGGGCTACACATAAAGAAACATCTAACTTCGTTAGTATTCTGGTGAACGTCTCTACATTGGTGATCACCAGTCCATAGAGTGTGTTTGCCTCTTCTGTAATGACAATAATATAAATCCTTCAATTCATTCGGAGATGCCGTGAAAGTCCAACAATCGCTTCTTTGTGCACGCACTAAAACACCACTCACAAATGAGAGCAGCAACCTCACAACACTATTCCTACAATCTTTGAAAAAAATACTCGCGTACCAAAAGAACTCGATTAGTAAATGGTTTTGAATTTTTTCCCCCTAGTTTCTGTTTTGTTTGTCATTGTGATGGATACAACGATTCAACTGCCTGTTCGATCACTAAACGCGAAGAGGTACACAAACTCTGTTCCCATCATCTTTTTGTTTTTATTTACTCAATAATAGGAGTAATTTTATCGCAAAGTTCTGTAACAGACAAATACGTGCAACACACTGGGGACGTCAAATCAGCAATCTTATCCTATCATCATTTTTTATCCGCAATCCTTCTGGCTGGTCATTGTGCATCGCATGAGCTCATATGGAACGGGCAATGCTTGACGTGTGAACTGGCTGAACAATTCCTTTACCTTTCACATGTCCATAATAATCTTCTACCTATCTCGTGGAAGACTCGCATAACAATGTCAAACGGTAAGAACATTGTAGACAAGCTTGTTTCCGTAACCTCGTCTTTTGGCATTTACAGTTAGGTGTGCATTTATGTATAAAATAGAATCAAACGCGATTGGCTCAATATGGCAAGAACAACATTGTCTGTTGAATTCTGTAAGGGCATGTGGATAAGAGAACTTTCAATGATAATTTATTCTCTCGCGACGTGTCACGTCGTGTCACGTCATCACGACTGGATTTTGCGATCAAGGTTCGATCCGTCCTTTAGTTTGAGGTGGTTTCAAGATAAGTGGAACGCGGCAAACATTTTCTCCTGCCTGTTTCCATCGTTGCCAAGTAGCGTTACCGAAACGTACTTCAACTTGTTTTGGGGCATTTTATAGATGACTTTAATACATAGTTACCTGTTTGGTACTCGGTATCAGCGAGGTGAACCGCAATCACACTGATTATTGTTTCCTTGCATCTTGAGCTTAGGTCAGATTTATGTGTTGCAGATCCTTTGTGGAAACTTTATTATTGTTCGTCTTACCGAACTTACCGAACGTATGTCACTGAAGGGATACGTAATTGTGGGCGAGGAGAGCATAGACAGCTTATCCTTAAGATTTGTGCTGCTCGTAAAAAAGCTGCACTTAGAGTGGGGGCAGGGTGCGTTCGTGTGATTGCTTCCCTCAAACGTCTCCTCAGTAGGTCACTACTCGAATCTCCTTTGAAGATGAGCTGCAAGAATAATTCTCTGTTTTGGAGCCTGATTGGTTTGAGTAATTTGGACCTTTCTCTGATGTTTTTCTCAATGAAACGCTCCCAGTATGCATTATTTAGGAATGTGGATTCGCTCTCTCTTAGTTTTTCCTCCACTAACTCAGTGGCGCAGATCTTTCGAGCTCTGAGAGCCAGACATTGTGCCAAGTTTCGTTTATATTTGATTAGAAGGAAACTTTGAAAATGGATGTATTGACAGTTCCAATTTGGTTTGTGAAAAATGGAAAGACATAAAATTCCACTTCATCCATTCCTGCGGTTTAGTTCGGCAAACTTAAGCTGATCTCCTGTTTCGGTCAGAAGGCTAATTGGCGGATGAGCTCGGTTAAAATGAATCCGTGGAATATTTTGATCAGAAAAGATGAAAATATCATCGACACAACGGCAGTAAATTGAAAGTTGATAGGTAATGTCCCGCAACTCGTTATTTTCCAATTTAACTGCGAATACATCAGATTTTGATAGACAGTGCTGTTCTTTCCCATTTACCTCAATGAATCGATATATATATATACACCCAACTGTAAATGTCCTTAGACGGACAAGTTATGAAAACAAGCTTGTTCGCTATATTTTTATTCTTCTATCTCATTATAATGACGAGAACTGAGAGTGATGTGAAATCGCTGAACGCATACTCGGCTACCAAGGGACAAAGAAATGTGGCGGCAATGTCACACGGATTACTTGGACTGGCAAAGCTTTTTCTGCTCACTATGATGTACCTTGATTCAGAACCCGTCCATAGGATGAGATGCACTCGTTCAATGCAGTCATCAGCTAATTTAATCACCTCCTTGGAACTATTGCGACTTGATCGTAGCTCGGGATAGGAGTGTTGGCGTTGACTTGTTCTCCCATTTGGAAGTGCTGTTCACAGACGTTTCGTAGCTAGGCACTGATGATGTTGCTTAGCCCTTCTACGGAGAATATACCGACACTATCATTATCTGATCAAAACAGAAAGAAGACAAATGTCGCGAGATGTTAACATTTCGTTTAATCTTCTCAATCGCTGACTTAAAACAAACAGGCACATATATAGCACTTGGGATTAATGAAATATGGTGAACTAACGTGTGCAAACACACAAAGATTTGTAAATGTAAAAGTCAAAGGTCAACTCCACGGTAAGTGGACTGTTTGTATCAAAAAATTTTGTGCGCATGAGGCCGGGTGACGCAATCGAATAAGCAGTGCTTCACTAATGGCCTTTGACTTTTACATTTACAAATCTTTGTGTGTTTGCACACGTTCGTTCACCATATTTCATTAATCCCAAGTGCTATATATGTGCCTGTTTGTTTTAAGTCAGCGATTGAGAAGATTAAACGAAATGTTAACATCTCGCGACATTTGTCTTCTTTCTGTTTTGATCAGATAATGATAGTGTCGGTATATTCTCCGTAGAAGGGCTAAGCAACATCATCAGTGCCTAGCTACGAAACGTCTGTGAACAGCACTTCCAAATGGGAGAACAAGTCAACGCCAACACTCCTATCCCGAGCTACGATCAAGTCG